TGCTGGCATCTACAGCTGTTCACGCAGGACCGCATCCCACTATTGGGCCTTGTTGGGCTCTATCTAGTGGACAGCTGCCCTGTAACCGCACTGCAGGACGACGTCTCGCCTTTGCGTTGGCTGCCAGAGCATGGATTCCCCATAACAGCGGTCGAGCCTTTGCCCTGATATTGTTGGCAAAGCCTGGGAACCATGGGAAACACGACATTATAACAGAAGCTTGCAAACACCAATCAGGGTGTTGCCGTTCACTGGACTTCAGTTCGCCATCGCAGTGGAACCGAGCATTCGCCGCCGCTGTCTCAAAATACGTTTTGCAGCCTTCAAAATTGGATACAGCCTGTTCTAAGCGAACAAAAAAGCACATGAGCAATCAATCGCTACTGTGGCATTCGCATTCCCCTGCAAGAGACAGGTCGTCGTTTAGTTGCTTTGTTTTTTTCCTTCCTCACCAGGACCATGTTGCAACTTTGCAAGCTCAAGGTCTGACTCGCTCCAACTGTGATGGGGCCCAATCCAAAGGCTGCCCAGCCTCGGAGTCAGTCCCTGCGTTCGGCCCCGCTATCAGCTTCAGTTTTCCACGTTTTGCTCCCGGTCCAAATAATTTTGGGCAAAAGTCCTCAGAGAAAAGGAAGCTTTTTGGACAAGCCCGACCCCGGCCGCAAAGCGAAGTTTTACTCGCGGGAAAGAATTGATCTCGTCATCGTCCTTTCTTCCACTCTGATTCAAGTACTGGGCCTCTCCACTTGGTCCCTTCACTGTTCGTCTTACACGGCCGCTCTCGGCAAGGCCTCGCATCCCATCCTAATCTCTACTGCTCGCTCGCTGGTCCTGGCGCTTCTTCCGCATCCACACCGGCGCGAACACACCACTGGCTACCAAGAGTTCCAAAGACCTTCCCATTCCGTGTTTTTCTCGTCATAGTCGCATCGTCAGAGTCCACCTCTTCTGTTGTTGCCCATCTCATCTCCTCCGGTGGTCCCTCTCGGCCTTTGCCCTGTTTACCCTCTAGTTAGTCGACGCGCTTGGCAACCGTCATGAACTAGTGTTCCCACTTTGTTTTTTCCCCCGCGCCGCTGCTTCGGCGTAGAAGCATTTATTCACTCACTGGAAATCTTTTACAAAAATGCATGGGGTTATTAACAAAAACGTCAGGTCTGCGGCGGACGAGGATGGCGCCGATCACATTGGTCTCGAAACTCCTCGATCCGGTGTAGCTACACCTCAACCCGATCTACAGGACAAACGCTTACCAGGAATCATGAGCTACTTCGGCCAGGTTCGTAAATACCCTTCTACGCCTTCGTCAGATCCCGATTCGTCACAGAGTGATACCACTCTAGACCGAATTCCAGTTGTGCCCACTCCACCAGCCGGCTTGCAGTTGCAGGCACACACCGAAGGCTCTCCTCGCCGCTGTGAGTCCTCGGCTTTGGATCGTTCGCTTCTTCAACATGAGCGTCCTGGTTCTATGCCAAGTACCACTGAGCGGGATGAGCATAACCTTTCGGACCCCTATCCAACCCCACCCACTTCTCAGCCCTCGTCTTCGGGGGGTTCTATCTCCCAGGACATGATTTCTGCAGACTCAGGGGTGCATGGCAGGGCTGCCGTCGAGCAAAAGTCTCTTACACAACAGTCACAATTCAAGAAACCCACAGCCTCACCATTCACCACCACCCACTTTCAAACTTCCAATGACCCATCACTGCCTGAACTTGACTCCTCCAAAAACGCAGCACCTGCCACAGACTCCATTATTCCTTCGCATCCTGAGCCCAGTACAAGTTCAGGCGCCTGTTCAGCTGCTGCCCCCGGCAAGTGGCATTTTCTTAATGGACTCAAGGAGCTAACTCGTATGACGTTCAAGAGCGGCAACTCGACTCCTACTCGAGCAATGTCGGCTGCTCGACCATCTGGCTCCGATAGAGCCCCATCCTCCGGGAGGGCCAGTCATGACGGTGCTGAAGTCAGCGGTACTCAGACTCCAAGGAGTTCTGCCGGTGCCCAGGCGCCTGCCGCCAAGGGAAAGCTAACAATCAAGATCAATGAAGCTCGTGGGCTTAGGAAGAGTCGGGACCCTTATGTTGTTGTGGTGTTCCAGCGTAGTGAGCTCATTTCTGGGGGTCCCCACCACATCGATGAGGACGATAACCTTAGTGTTGAGCCACCTCCGGCAGCTGCTGGTATCCCTATCCAGCGATCAGGCAGTGACTCTGGGCGTCCCTTGGCTATTCCCATGAGGAGCAGGCAAAGTAGCAACACTAGCATCAATGACTACGGCTCGTTCCGTAACCGATCCGGAGGTCAGCTTACATTCACCAACCCAAAATGGGATGCCGAAGCCGAGTTGTAAGTTGCCTTCTGTGGACAGTTGTGTCTGCGATTCATTACTGACAATGAGTAGCGATGTTGTGGACTATGATATGCTGGTTGACGTCTCGGTTTATGATCATGGGGCAACGGGTGATGAATTTCTGGGCCATGTTGATTTTCAGGCCAGCAAGGATCCCGGTGCCACCGTCCAGGGCTGGTTCCAGCTGCAGGGCCATGCTGATACCATGGCAGAAAATGCGCCAACCGGTGAGATCTTCCTCGAGGCCATCTACCACAGAGCAGAGAGGAAGCAATTTGGCCCCACTGATTTCGAGATTCTGAAACTCATCGGCAAGGGCACTTTCGGTCAGGTGTATCAAGTGCGAAAAAAGGATACTCAGCGCATTTACGCCATGAAGGTTCTGCAGAAGAAGGTTATTGTGCAAAAGAAGGAAGTTGCCCATACCGTGGGAGAACGAAATATCCTGGTTCGGACCGCCATGTCCGACTCCCCTTTCATCGTTGGTCTCAAGTTCTCTTTCCAGACACCATCAGAACTTTATCTCGTTACTGATTATATGTCTGGGGGTGAGCTGTTTTGGCATCTACAGAAAGAGGGTCGGTTTGACGAGAAGCGAGCCAAGTTCTACATCGCCGAACTGATCTTGGCCATTCAGCACCTTCATCATAATGACATTGTATACCGGGATCTGAAGCCAGAGAATATCCTCTTGGATGCTAACGGACATATCGCCCTTTGTGACTTTGGTCTTTCCAAGGCCAATCTCACAAAGAATGACACTACCAACACTTTCTGTGGAACAACCGAATACCTTGCGCCCGAGGTTTTGCTCGACGAATCTGGCTACACCAAGATGGTGGACTTCTGGTCGCTTGGAGTTTTGGTCTTTGAGATGTGCTGCGGCTGGAGCCCATTCTATGCCGAAGATACGCAGCAAATGTATAAGAATATTGCTTTCGGTAAGGTGAGGTTTCCTCGAGATACCCTCTCTCAGGAAGGAAGGAATTTCGTCAAGGGACTCCTCAATAGAAACCCCAAGCACAGACTAGGTGCGACCGACGACGCCGAGGAGCTGAAGAGACACCCCTTCTTTGCCGATGTCGATTGGACTCTTCTCTCCAAGAAGCTTATCACTCCACCTTTCAAACCCAAATTGAAGTCTGAGACAGACGTCTCATACTTCGATCCCGAATTCACGACCGCGCTGGATCAGAATGGCTCTCTGAACGAACGTGCTGCTGCGTTGGCCCGAGGCTATGCCGCTTCAACTCCTCTTTCTCCTTCCGTTCAGGCCAATTTCCAAGGCTTCACGTTTGTTGACGAAAGCGCATTAGATGATCATATGCGAGACAGAGCAGGACTCGTTGATGAAGATATGGATGATGGACAACATCACAGGAACCGCGATAACGACGATTGGGACAATCTCGACGACATTGACCTCAGGAAGGCAAACCGGATGAGCGGGATCGTGAAGACTGGACATGATGAGCACATGGTGGGTGGTTCTCACTTTGACGTATAATGCGGCAACTCCTTTTTCCTGCGCAGTATTATTCAAGTCAAGCTCCACGGCGTTTCAACCATGCTGGAGATTGATCTATCTCTACGTGTCATACAGAAAGCAAAAAGTAATATTTCGCAAAACTAAAAAACCTCACCTCTTCTTACCCAGTTTTGCATGTGGGTTACGGATGTCTAATTTGTGGAATTATATGCATCGAGGTCGGCTGGTATTGCATTGCATTGATCCTCGAACTGTACGGGACTGATGGCGTTTTATGGTTGTGGAAAATGAGAAGAGAGAGAACGAGAGACAAAAAATAGGAGGATCAAGTCTATTTTGGTCGATCCCTCCGTTGAGGGCCATTTTCCCTTAGTTTGATTCCCAGCAGTAACAGGAGGGCCATATGAGTAATGAAATGAGAATGCCACAGCTATTCTTGAAAGGTCCCGGAAGGGAAATCGGCCTCTCTCGTTTTATGCTAAACTTGTCCTTGTTGGACAGAGTAGCCTATGGAAGAGTTCGAGCCTAGCCTACCAGCCTTGTCCGTCTTGTGGCTGTCGATGACGTTGATTGCCACCTGACGTCGATAGCCAGCCAAGAGCTAGTGCAACATAGCTTGAGGGATGAACGATGCATGGTATTGGATTATATGACAGTATTCGAGGGAAGTTGAAGTCATGGGTACATCATCGATGTTAGAAGGCATGCAAGGCTAATCCGCATATGCCCCGCAAAGTTGGGCCGGCAGCTTGAGACGTAGAGGCACGGTTAATCAGTTATCGTCAGGAGATAGACATATGGTTTCGAGGTTCTACACGCAATAAAATATATATAGAGTCACTTAGGAATGATCGTTAAAACAAGTTGCTTGTGCTTCATTTGTCGTTCGCATTTCGCAATTAGCTCCTACAAGCACCCAGAAAAAAGGGCTGGTTTTTAGGAAAATGTACACAGGATTCTTGTCCCCAATCCACTTGCTTCTGCTTCTTCTTTCTCCTTGATCGCTCCGGCTCTTCTTCTCGGGGGTTGAGTTGATGTCAACCGCCTTCTTTTTGCTATCCCATGAAACGGCGGCGCTAGGCGGTGAGAAATGACACCCAAAAATGTGCCGCGGTCAGGGTAGTCTATGTGCTCCCAAAGGTTAAGAAAAACGCTTTAGTGATGAGGCTCATCCTCCTCCTCGGCCTCAAGCCAGTCAGCAACCTCGGGGGTGCCAGACTGGGCAGAGCTGTCCTGGCCCTCAATCTCAACGGCCATGCTCTCGTACTCCTTCAGGTTGCCGGCGAGGTCGGTCTCCTCTGGGGAGGCAGGTGTCTTGGGGACGTTGAAGGTCTGGACGTTGCCCTCAGCATCGGACTCCTTGACGGCGGGGATCTTGTAGGCCTTGAGCTCCTTGAGATAAAGCTCTTGGACGAAGTCGGCTGTGAAGGTATGATGTCAGCAAGTGGACGTTGACTCGGCTAGATCATATTTGAGCTGATCGGATAACGGCTGGTCAATTTTGATGAGAGACGCTAGATAATATATCCAAACGGAGTTCGAACCCGGATTGATATCTAGCATTTGATGCTGGTTGTTTGGCGACGTCGGAGCTTGGGTGGAGTGCAGATTCGGGTCTAGAGGGACAGATCCGACCGGGAGAAATAGGTGGTCGAGACGATGTATTCGCGACACCCAAAGGCATTGACCGAGAAGCATAGAGCAGCGTAGATAGAGTCTTACCTTTCCGGGAGACAGTGGGAGCAATGAAGCCCCTCACCTGAACGGCATTGGGTCTGGCGACACGAGAAACAGCCGCAACAGCGGAGCGAGCGCGCTATAAAACCATGAGTATTTTTTCATCGCCTAGGCCTGACTTTTTCTCTCACCGAAGCCCTGGAGAGTTGAATGAGCATTTTGAATGGCTGGTGGTGGCTCAATTGAAGGGGTAACTCCGGGGGAGATGGGCGAGGGCGAGATCGAGGGCGAGGTCGATTGAGGGTTTTGGGGGGAAAAATCGTGAGAGGTTGCACTGGACCATGCGTCTTCGCCCCCGGTTAGAGCGGTTCGGCCTTGCTATCGTGGAGTTGGTGCCTCAGGTTGGGCAGCTGCCGGAGCATCACGGATCGATCACACGTGACATTAGAGAAGTGTGATTGGCCAGGATCGATCAATATATGTTGCATGGGGCTCTCCCTGCTCGGGCTATTCACTTACACGGAGATCAGTCAGTATGGATTTCAATGCTCAACTGGTTCGAGAGAAAACATCCAACTACTGTAGACTGGTAGAGTCTTGCTTACTGCCACACTCCTTCCAGGTCTTTCCAGTTGTCGCAATTTGCTATATTCAAATATAAAGAAGCAACAGCTTCCAAAGTTCATGCTAACCAGGTTGTACAACACAACGGCCAACAAAAATGTTTGATCGAATCCTTTCATCAAGTTTATTGATATGGTATATGCTAAGTTAAAAAAGGATTTCCAAGGTAACAAAGAAGAAAAAGAAGAGAACGATTGACATCGCAGTTAAAACATCTTGCCAATTATCAGATCCAGTCCCGATGGGCCGAAAATCTATGGTATCACAATTCACGAGTCCCGATATCCGAAACACCTTCTAAGCATTACAGTTCCGCCATATTACTCCTCTTTTAGGTTGACGAGACAGTTTATCGTGCCTCCTCCTGAGACATCTGTGGAGAGATTTGCTTGGCACGAGAAGCGTTCCTTCGCCTCTCACCAATAAAGGCAGCAGCCAGGTAGAGGATGGCAGCGATACCGGCAATGACGGAGTATGCGATGATGTACGCAGTGGATGAGTTGGCAAGCTGAAGGCCAAGGCCTCCGTTGACGATACCGACGATGATGAGGGCTCGACCGAACCAGACGTGAACATGGCTGACAACTCCTCGCTTGCGGTGGCTCACAAAGTACCGATGGTGCATGTAACCAAGGACAGGCTGCAGGGTCATCAAGGCACAGACAGCAGTGCCCATTCTTGTGTGAGCTTGTTTTCCCCACTAAAGTCTCATGTTAGTACTGATAGACTAGGTAGACAGGTTCCGATGCGAGCGCATCGCAGGGGAGAACTTACGTAGCCACCATCACGAGCATATACGTATCCAAGGCCAAATCCAGCCCACATGAGGAGCAACATGACAACTTGCCAGCCCGCGTGGATGAGCCACTTTCCAAGCATGGGCATAAGGATTGCACCCAGAGGATATCCAGCAATGAAGACAATCGACATGATGATACCGTGAGCTCGCAGAACAGTCTTGCTGGGGCTACTGCCACTTCCGTTCTGTGTCACGGCACCGCCAGAGCTAGAACCAGAGTTCGAGTTGGTGTTTTCGTTGCTGTCGGTGAATGGGTTGCTGTCAGAGCTCATTGTGGCTTTGGCAAGGTCAACACTGAAGTCCACGTGCTTGTCGTGCTCAGAGATGCGCTCCTCCATGCTTGTCGAATCCAGGGAATTTCCATTCTTCCAAGCTGCAATCCACGAGCTCGTGCCCTTTAGACTAAGGTCAATACAGTTGTTGCATCGAATGTTGGCGATCATCTGATTGTCCTTGATTCCAGAACCGTCGAGGAGCTCGAGTCCGCTTCGCTTGGCGTAATTGGGCATTACCTCTCCGACACCTCTCCTTGGGCTCAGGGTGACATTGCCGTTGCCGTCTTGGTAAATGATGAACATGTCGGATCCGGCCATTTGGGATCCAGTGCCTAGTCCTGCCCATTGTGCGGATGTTGGTGCCTTGATCTGGAAGTAAAAGCTACCAGATCCCGCGCTGGCAGAAGCCTCAGGGACACCCCATCGGAAACAGACGTCGCCATTGTCCGGGCAGAAAGAAGATGTGATGGCAAGTGCACTGCCAGCAGCAGCTGAAGCAGAATTGTTAGCTGGGAGGGAGTGGTGCGTTGAGTTGATGGGAGCGACTTACAAAGCACCGCTAATGGTGTGCTGAAAGTTGACTTCATGGTATTATTGGGAACGAAATAGAGACAGATGAAGTGAAGAGATACGGGAATTGATTTTTACTGCGAGTGAGGAGATTGGAATCTTACATGAGGGGGACAACGAAAGTACTAAATATAATAAGCACAAAGAAAGCACAACTGGACGTAGACCAGGGGGGCATTCCTATATTGAGACGATCGTCCACTGGGCCACAGACGCTACGCGCCGCAAAGCCACGGCAGTGCTGTATGATACAAAGCCTGGTGCCGGTGGTACGGGACGATTTACGAAGTCGAATGCCACCAAAGGGACCCGGCAGATGACATTACAAGTGCCGCCATTAGTTAGTCTGGCTCAAACGGACGGATCCCTTGAGCAAGTTGAGCCCAAGGCTTGGCCCAAGAGAAGGGATCGATGTTGTCGTCAGCTCTTTTGTCGGATCCGCCCTGGTTAATCCTTGTCAAGCATGAGATGAAATGTGTTAAGGTTTCACTCACACTGCCACTGCCCAGACAGCTAGCTATCCATGCTATCCATGCTATCAACGCTATCAACGCCAGTGAATAGGCTTAAGCCATCCCGGGATTCAGTGCCGAGATGGCGGCAGTTTGCCCGCTTAAGGGCTTCAGGGCACAGTCACGACGCCCGAACGATTGGTCAACGGCACATTTTCTTTCAGTCGAGGCATCATGATGCTGAAACTGTCGCCGTTGGCAAGGTGTGATGGTGTGCCTTTGTATCCGTTATCCGAACAAGAGGGAGTGGCCTCCTCTGTTTCAGTAGACCTCTTGGTGTTCGAATACGCGCTCAACTGCTCCATATGATGGACGCCCAGACTGCCAGTGCATACGACAACTGAGAAAGGCTGTGGTGACAGGCTTGCAAGGACTGAAGGAAATGGCGGCCGACCCTTACAGGGATGTCTCCGCAGGTGAGATCTGGGCTGTCGGGAAGACTCTCTTCTTTGACTAGGCGCCCAAATCTGGTAAAAGATCTGATTATGCTTCTCTCTCGGGTAGATTGGTCAATCCGACATCAGACAGTCATCCCACGGCAGCAGCGTTATCCCACGTGGAGCACCGAGGTTTCAACGTGTGAATAGCCTCAGAGGTCCACGTCAGAGTCTACCATTGGCAGTATCGTATTTTGTTTGATGAGGTCGCATAAACAATTCTCTCCCACTCTCCGGGCTCCCCCAGGCCCACGGCTAACCCCCAAAACGGATACTATAACCAAGCTTCAGCCCAATGACATTGTCCCAATTTGCAACACGACGCTACAAGGGTCTGGCCTCGTGAATACGTCAGCTCCTCCAAACCAAAGCTTATTCTCTACTCTAATTCTCTCCGAATAAGGCGAAGCACCTTTATCTTTTCGTGCTAGGATTTGATTATTCGATCATCACAAAGCAGCTTCGTCGATGATGCCAAGAAACGCAGATGCAGTCTGATCGTATCGTCTCAGTCGATGGCATGCAATAGTCTACGCCTCGTACATGATGATTGCGCGGCCCTCCATTTCATGTTGCAGATGCACTTCTAACATTTATTCATGTAGTCTGTCACTGTTATCGTGGCCTGATGTGATGATCGCGCCGATCTCCAGTCTGTGACGCATTCGTTTAAGCTTGTAGATGTTGGCGTTGTAGTTGTCACCCATCGATGCAACTTATTCCTCCGATAACTGAGTCTTTGAAGCCGCTATCTATTCCTAACTTTAGTTGACGCGTATGGCACCAATAGCCAAGGTACTCAGACAAACCTGCTCAAGTGTCTCAATCTCACCCTTCTGCATGTTATTCCCGATTATGTGAGATCATGTTCTTCCATCGTCGATTTCTCCATCTCTTTGACTGACAACCTAATCATCACGACAACGGCATTACTCGTCCAAGTACGAAGCCGCAGTCATGCTCTTACAACCCAACAAATACCAGCCTGTCAGCTCAGCCTAGGGCTAATCATAGGCTTCATAGCCCCAATCCATCATTTGTCACTTGCCCCGGCTGTTTGCACGTTTCGGGCAGTTATCAACATCCTAGTCGATGGCAAGGATCATGTATAGAAACGAAAACTCTATTGAAATCTACAACCAGACTGACTTAACAGATACTACAGTACCTTCCAACGGCCATTGAGGCCCTGTCTTTGTTGTACCTAGCTGCTCTTTCTGTACCTAGGTAACGCAAAAAAACCGCACCAATCAATACGCAAGCATCTTGAATAACACCTATACCTCTCAATCAACTCCCCTTCCCCTGTCTCTATATTCTATAATCGCAATTTCTCTCCTCCCGACAGTATTCACAATCAGGTGTGGGCAAAAGAGGCGAATCGATCTTCATTCAACAGGCTTGAAGATGCAACAAAACTAAATCCTCCAAAGAGCTCATCCTTAGGAAGACTTCGAGGCCAGGCCTCCTTGTTTGGTAGCACCGGGCTGATGGACAGCTCCGTAAACTCTGGGGCGAAGTTCTCGGCTAGCTCAGGGTCCGTGATCATGGGCTGAATTGGTGGCTCAAGCTCGCGCTCCGCCAACTTCTTCCAGTCAATCTTGCGGAAGAACCGGTGTTTCTTCATCGTCGTCAGATCCTTGGGCATCGTGGCACCGAGACGCTTGCTGGGGTCCTTGCGAAGAAGTCGGGTGAGTAGGTCTTTGGCATCAGGGCTCAGGAAATAAGGAAGAACCAGCTTCTGCTTGACAATGTTGTCTTGGATCTTGGCGTGGTTTTGGCCACGGAAAGGCGGATTTCCAGTCATCAGGTCGTATCCGAGGGCTCCAAACGACCACCAGTCGACTGCCTTTCCATACTTCTTCCCAAGGACCACCTCGGGCGCCATGTACTCGACAGTTCCCAGCATCGAGTTGCAGCTCTCATTCTGGTCGACCGAGACCTTGGAAAGGCCAAAGTCAGTCAGGAGGAGATGGCCTTCAGCGTCCAAAAGGCAGTTTTCCGGCTTGAGATCGCGGTAGACCACGCCGAGATCGTTGTGCAGGTGAGAAATGGCTAGAAGCATCTCCGCCATGTAGAATGCTGCCACATCCTCCGAGAACATCTTTTCGGTGTTTAGATGGGTGAAGAGCTCACCGCCCTGTCCGTATTCAAGAATGAGGTATAGCTGCTCTTGGTCTTGGAAGGCATAGAACAGCTTGACAACAAATGGATGTCTGTTGACGGACTCAAGAATCTGTCGCTCAGTCTTGGTCTGCTCAACGAGCTTCTTGTGGACGACAAGCGAGGCCTTTTTGAACTGCTTCTGAGCGTAGAGTCTCCCAGTCGCGCGTTGCTTGACGAGCAATACAGTACCATAGGTACCCTTGCCGAGACATCGCAGCTGTTCAAAGTCCTCCGATGTCATCTTACGGTTTGGCACAAGGCCGCCCTCTAGGGTTTCGAGATATCCACTACGCTCTCGAACACTCTCGCTAGCAAAATCGTGCTCGAGGTTAACCTCGTAACTAATGGAGCTGTCTGAAATCTCGCTACCAGCCTCGCTGCGAACATCCTCTCGACTGTGCGTACGGCTGATCATTTGCTTTCGAAACTCGAGCGCCAGACCCTGTTGACTTCCAGCACGACTCATGGAGTGGCATGGCGACCCTCCATCAAGGCTCAGAGGCTCCATCTGCATTCGCAGTTTGGCGATGCCCGACATGGCGGGCGAGGGATGGGCGCGGAAGGTAGGGCTGCAGTTAGCGCTCACGACATCATTGACCATGAGGTTTCGGCCGGGGGTCTTGCGCCGCGGAGTAGGGGCCTCGCTGTGTCCGTGGTCCGAGTCTTCGTCGCCCGAAGTTGCAGGTGTAGTCTGGAATCCGCGGACGGTAGTGACCGCGGCAGGTGCCTGGCTTATCATGGTGGGCGGTATTTAAAGTGGTGGTCCGGGACTCGGGGGGTTAGGAACGGCACGGTTATGCTCTGATAACTACACCACGCAGCACTCGCCCAGCTCAGACAGTGGACAAGTGCAGATAGTCGTGCTATTCAAGGGAATCCTCGTCGGCGCTCCGGATCTGCGCGGGGCTGTGATTCGAAGTGACGCTCGATTTCGTAGAAGTTCGCGACACGCATCTGGTATCGGAAGAAAGAAGTACGGAAGACGGCAGACTTTGCTATATGCATTTGGCAGCGGATAGGTGTCGTGGGTAGGTATGTTGAACTGGTGTTCACCAAGTGTGGTGTGAGGAGGAAGAAGAGAGAGGGAATGGACAAAGAACGGGTCCTTTTGGTATTAAATCAAGTAAGAAAAATAAAACAAGGATTTTTTGGTGGCCATAGCCCTGCGCCCATTTCAGCAGGTGCGCTGTAACTCCGCGATTTTTTAGGCTTTTTTTAGGCGGTCTTGCATTGGCTGTATGTATGATTCAGCCCGCCTTGGGAATCGGCTGGGCCGTCGCCTGCCTTCAATCAAACCCCTTGTCTTCATAGCCCGAGCGTCCACTTGGAACGCGGGGAGGAATTAAAGGCTCGGGGGGGTCCTAGTCAGGCGGGTGTTACAAACTACCTACCTACCACTCAAGTTTGGATGTTATTCATAAAAATAACCCCTGGGACTAGCACAACTCATGAAAGTTCAGGGGATGCACTGCATCAAGATTGTCGAACCTGGCTGCTGGAATCCGGAATTCACTAGCTCGAGTCGAAACATAAGACATGGACCGTGAGACTTGAGGAGTATGTGAAAGCATTGTCGCATTAACCATAATTATATTTGCCCCTTTTTGTTTAATTTGTGGCTGTTGAGCAAGGACTTTTGTTGCTCCCTTGGCTGACCCCGTGCTGTCAACAGGAGGCAGCGAACAAACATTGAACGTGACACTTTCTGATCCGTCTGCCAGATTCTGTTCTTCATGTCAGCATCAGAAGGCATGAAAGATGACCGAGAATCTTGAGACACTGACATCACCAATAACCTGACAGGCCTGGGCCATGCGGTGATCGATCCCGCAAAAAGCGAATGGTTGGTCTTCGTTAAACTTTTAGCTTGTCATTCTTTGGGGGCCCATTTAAACGTTGGATGCTAACCCAGCCAAGACCAGGGTGAAGAATATAGGACTGGTTAACTGCTTACTGAGGCATGCACATTAGTACTAACTAACCTCCTCCCAACTAGGTACTAATCTTTAAAGGCAGAACAACATGAAGGGTAAAATGAAACATGTGTTGTGAGAATTACATAGTATGGGCTTTTTATGTATTCATTCGTTATTCTTTCACTAGTGATCTATTATTCTTTTCCTTTTAAATACATTTTTAGCATAAATAACTCCCAGGTTGACGTAGGCCCAGGCGATCGTCGGCCACCGGCGAAATAAACTGCCGACACAATATGAGGCTCCAAGGTCGCGTCTGGGAAATTTCACATCTACCAATCCAAGATCGCGCGCAAAACAGCAAGGCTGCAACCATAGCATCAGCCCTCGATTGACAAAATTCGGCACCTTCGATTCCAGCTTTTAAAAAGAAAAAGAAAAAACTCCTATACAACGACAACCATCATCAAACTCTTCACTGCTCGTGCATAAGCGAAGCTATCATCTACCTGCGTTTGGCCATCTCCAGCCAAGATGATGCACCCATCGCGGCAGGCGTACGTCGAGGACGCCGAGCCCCAAGGAATCGCACTGGAAGATGTCCCCGATGACCATGACTACGATATTCCAATGGGCGGAACAGGTGTTCCATCTGAAAAGGCTTCAGCAATCCTCAGCCAATTCAATCGCAAGCGCCTAGCAGCAACGATAGCAGTCCCTACCGATGATACTCGAGTCCGCGCAAAGCTTCGGGAGATGGGAGAACCAGTCACTCTATTCGGGGAGGCACTTGTTGATCGTCGAGATCGATTACGGGAGCTTCTTACCATCCAGGCAGAGATGACAGGCTTGGAAAATGGTGATATTACGATGGAGGAGGCTGGAGACCAGGAGCAGGAGGAGGAGCAGGAGGAGGAGTTCTACTCAAGAGGTGGGCTTGAACTTCTACAGGCGCGACTAAAGCTTGCTGAGTACTCTCTGCCGCGAGCCAAGAAGAGGGTCGAATTTCAGAAAGCCGAATCTACGATCCCTCTACGCACCCAAGTCAAGTTTCGTAAACAAGTCAAGGAGAGATTACAAGCATTCGAACTCCAGGGCAGTCAGACGGTTGGCGAACGTCATGTCAGCATGACTCGCATATCTCCCAACGGCGAGTTGGTCGCTGTAGGCAACTGGGGTGGGCAAGTCAAGCTGGTCGAAATACCAAGCTTGAACCAAAAGACAACCTTCCGCGGCCACACCAGCAAGATTAGCGGCTTATCTTGGTTCCCCGGATCTACCCTGCCAGAACACAACGTTTCGCCCGACGCCGTCAACCTTGCGTCAGGCGGTGCCGAGGGCTCGATTCATTTATGGTCTCTGAACCAAGATACTCCCCTGTCCACACTCGAAGGGCATTCACAGCGAGTATGTCGTATCGAGTTCCATCCCTCTGGACGTTATCTGGCCTCTGCTTCTGAGGATACTTCGTGGCGTCTCTGGGATGTCGAAACAACCGCAGAGGTTCTTCTTCAAGAAGGTCACTCAAGAGGTGTCTACGCTGTCAGTTTCAACACTGACGGATCCTTGCTCGCAAGTGCTGGTCTAGACAGCATAGGTAGAATCTGGGACTTACGTTCCGGACGTACCGTCATGATCCTGGATGGACATCTTGACGGACACATAAAACCCATCCATGCGCTGGACTGGAGCTCTGACGGACACAGGGTACTATCTGGCTCAGCTGATGGTTGGATCAAGTGTTGGGATGTTCGAAAGGTGCAAAGGACAGGCGGTATTGGTGCGCACACCAGTGCCGTCTCTGATATGCGTTGGTTCAAAGGTCTCGACGACCCCCTCACTGGTGTTCCACCTGGTGTTGATGATAAGGGTGCACAGCTACCTAAAAAGTCGGGCACCTTCTTCATATCAAGCGGTTTTGATAGAAATGTCAAGATCTTCTCGGCAGACGACTGGACACTGGTGCAAACGCTCAGCGGCCATACAGGTCCAGTTGCCAGCGTCGATTATAGCAGGGACGGCAAGTGGATTGTCAGTGGAGGCCATGATCGCACAGTCAAACTATGGGGTCGCAATGATGGTGAGGGAGTCTAGCGTCGGGGCATTGCTGACGAAGAATAGATCTGGGTAGAATAAGACAAACAAAAGCTACTGTGAGATACCCCAAAAATTCATAATAATAGGTAGCCAGAATAAATAAAAACCGAAGAATGACCAGGCAAGCAAGCACCAATAGTCCAACAATCATCCAAAGCGGGCCTTTTCCCATTCATCCAAAGTGGGGGGGAGTTCCTATTGTTTCATCCGTTGAGTTGGGTGTTACTATCGCCCATTGGAGGATCATGTGTCCACCCTCCTGTGCTGTGATTAGATAACGCTACCCGAATTCGGCTCTAGTTTGTTGCCCCTGCTGTCAAACGCCAACTTCCTTTAGATCAGGTTCCTTGCAGTGCCGGCTAACTTGGACTTCGCATCACTTTCAACTTCGCATCTACGTGCGTTAATCATTGGCACCCCTTTCTCAGACCCACGCAACCCTCTCCTAGGAGCCATTTCCTTATCAGCGCTACAAGTATCGTTATCCTGATTCAAGATCACCGGCCATGGCGAGTATCGATCGCTACAGGCCGCCCAGGGAAGGGTATCAACCCCCGACCCTACCTGCAAACCCTCGACCTGAGCGCGATTCGAGATCACGATCTCCCCGGCGTCGCGATACCGTTCCTCCAGCAGTTCCAACTCCTCCGCAGCACTCGACACGAACATCTCCCCCCCGACTACAAGCCCGACAAACCCAAGAATCACCAGCCCGATCCGGTGCGCAAACTCCAGTAGCTGTTCTTAACCAATGGAACTTTTCGTCGGACGAAGTGCGAAGTACACCTAGCATAGTCGAGGGTCTTTCGCCGGCGGAAGAGAGGATGCGCAGGGCCAAGGGCGTCAACTTCATCTACCAGGCGGGCGTCATGTTGGATCTCCCTCAGATTACGCTATGGGTAGCTGGAGTATTCTTTCATCGGTTCTTCATGCGCTGCCACATGGTCCAAGATAAGGGTGGAATTCATCATTACGTGAGTTCTCCCACCTGATCTTGCAATTCCAATGTCTCTCTGGGGCAGTGAAAGACTGTTCTTGACTGAGCAGCATGCAATTCTTTTCTATATGCTAACTTCCACAATCAAGAACATCGCAGCAACGGCCCTCTTTCTAGCCAACAAGACCGAAGAGAACTGCCGCAAGACAAAGGACATCATTATCGCCGTAGCCAAAGTTGCACAAAAGAACGCCAAGCTCGTTATTGATGAGCAGAGCAAAGAGTACTGGCGATGGCGAGACAGTATTCTCACATACGAAGAGGTCATGCTAGAGCAACTCACTTTCGATCTGATGGTGGACAACCCCTATCACCACTTATTTAAGTTGCTCGATCAGCTTGGAATTGTGCATAACAAGAATCTGCGGCAAGCGGCCTGGGCTTTCTGCAATGATGCTTGCCTTACATCGATCCCTCTGTTGATAGGACCTCGAGATGTTGCCATCAGCGCCATCTTCTTCGCGAGCATATATGCGAACCAACAAATTGAAGACATCAATGGCGAGCCCTGGTGGAAGCTCCTCAAGGGTGACGAGGTCCTTTGTTCTCATGCTATCGAGGTGATGCGCCAGTTTTACACGGAGAATCCGCTTAGAAAGCAGAACCCGTCGCTGCCATCACCAGCATTCCATCTCCAGAACACCAGAAAACGCGGTGATACTCTGTTGAGCCAACCAGACACGTTGTCGTCAACGACCGGTACCCCCTTGGAAGTTGACCGGGCGAGTCGCAGCCCTGGTGCAAACTCTAGAGTCAACGGCGCGGCTCAGGATGGTGAAGGACGATACCCAGAGAGAGATGAGGGTTCTCCGTCTCGGCATGACGAGAACGGAAGACCTCCGAGGTCACCACTCAAGCGGAGAGAGCCTGACGATGGCGAGGAACAGAGCGACAGAGCGGAGAAACGAGCTAAACTCTCGGAAGATGAGGAGGGAGAACTAGTTGAAGATTGATACCAAGGTTGCGGTTCGTATGCAACACAATACAGCAATACACTATTTGTAGAGTACGGGATAAAGAGGCGTTTAAAGGTTTCCTTTAGTTCGTGAGTTAACATCCGCTTACGTGAGAAGGTTGATAGGTATTTACGCATGGCAAAAGGCTGGATCTGGTAGAGCAGGTAAGCGTTCGGGAGGATGCTCCCAGAATACGGCGTTTGGATGTAGGTGGTAGACGTGCTCTGCTACTGCACTTAGTTTTTAGCTCATGATCGAGGATATATCTCGGGGGAGGTTGATAGATAGCGGCAGACGACGCCCATTCAAGTACAGAATTGAAAATAAATCGTGCATAATGCCTCGTGTTTGTGGCTAAGGAGAGCACTTGTATTTCATGTATATTATTGCGTGCTCTTGTAGATATCCTAGGGATCGAGAACCACGAATGGTTGTGGGTGGTGTTGGTATATTGAATTGGTCTGACTTCCCTTTTCCCACTGGTCAGGAATCTCTCGATTTTCCAGATGCCACATACTCTATTGTCTGGCCTATCATTCCCAGGCCATTTCTTCTTTACCATGATTATTATTGTAAAAGTAAATATATAATGAGGCTCCTTCAGGACATTTCGTACTACACCCTTCGGATACCAAGATATGCCAAGTACCCCGAGCTTCTACAAGTAATACCTGCCAGTTCTCTTCCTTTGGCCGAACCCATAGGTACCTTAGTAGGTGGTTTCAAGATTGGATCCTGTCAACCTTCCTGTACACGTAGCTAGCTGCCTCAGTCATTGCTCGTCCCCGACCCAAGTGCTCGCTTGCTGCCTGCGCTGCACTGAATAAACTGAATGCAGAGCCTCAGGCTTCCCAGAAATTCTGCCAATCAGCTCCACTCACCGCCTTCAATGCTTCGCTATAAAATCTCGTCGTGTCCCGCTCAAGCTTCGCTTTTTTCTTTTCCTTTTCTCCTTAGCTCTCTTTGCCTTTTGGCTTAGATCAAGTGTAGTATCTGTTCTTTTCAGTTTAATCTCTGAAAGATGTCTAAGGACATCAATCGTGATTATTCCTATTTTTGGCTTTCGGGCAGTTTCCTCTGTGCTTGCACATGATTCTGCCCACAGTGTCCCTGGTATTACACTGCCTCCAGGTGACGCGAACACTACATGGGCTCGGTTTTCATTACTTGCTCGGGCTTGTCCTGGGCAGTGAAGAAGACACTTTTGTGCGTGACGCTAGAATAGATGAGATAGGCACTGTTTCTTTGTGTTTCGGTTCTTCGCGTACACTAGAATGACAGGCTGTCGGAAGAGACAACGCTTCAACACGGTCTTTCTCGGTGTTAGTGAGGAGTGGCTCCGCTGGTGAACGATCTTGCCGTGCTCTTGAATCCAACCTGCTTATGTATATGTAGAAGCAGTCAGTACTCAAGTGTTGGATACCATCATCTCCAGGTTTCATTTTAGGGTCGACTTTCTGGTTCGTAGCGTGATGCGAGCAAATGTAACACGGGGTAGTTCAGTATTGAGTACCTACGGTATGTTTCCCGCTACTAAATACACACGCCGTTGACCTGTGATCTTGCTTGTGCTGCGGCTTCTTACGACTTTCGTGTTCGTCGATTTCTACGTGGCTTCCTGAGGCACAGACAGGATAGAGGCTGCTGCTCCCATGAATCCAAAGTTGTTTGTTCCTCGGAGATAAAGTGGCGTTCAAGTCGATCTACCTAGTAGTTACCTAGGTTGGATAATAATACAAGAGACATGCACAACCCAATGTCAAGTATTGAAAACCGTGACAAACACCACATATCCGCCGCCAACACCCAGCATCGCGGCTTTGTCGTGTGCTTTGGTCGCGGAAGCAGTCCCGATTAGGCCTAGTGCCTATGCTCTGTGAGCTCCTCCAAAAAGTCCACCACAGTCACCCACATTGATTGTCGAAACAGCTTCAACTGATACCCACTGAACGAGTCCAGTAATTCCCTTCAACGCACTTCAACCTCTATAGCTGGCCAATATCCTTTGATACCACATTTAGAACCCAAGCACGATATCGCTGAGGAGATTCAGACGTCATGGCTACACTCGGTGGATATCTCAACAGTACGACGCCGTTCCCAAGCTCTACTACCTACCTCACCGGCTTGCTAACACAGACCGCAGAGAAAGTCCTGATCGTGACAGCCGATTCGCGTATTCTTGTCGGAACTCTGGCAGCATGCGACCAAACAACCAATCTGGTGAGTGCCCTCCTACTTATTTTGACTATACAAACGCTCACGGCATGTGCTTAGGTCTTGAACAACGCCGTGGAACGAATTATCCGGACGCCCGACGATCCTGAGCCATCCGCTCAAGTGCCTTTAGGTCTATACCTCGTCCGCGGCGACAACGTATGCTCAATCGGCCTCGTAGATGAGGCGCTCGACGACAGCATCAACTGGACAGAAGTCAAGGGTTCAGCAATCGGCGGTATAAAGCACGTATAGGCTACACACTCGAAACATCGTAAAGCAGTCCGCACTGCGACATTTTCTCTCGTGTTATTCTGTTTGGGGTACAGCATCCACTGCTGGAGGTTTGGGAAGCTTCTTTTCCACGGCATCGATAGGATCACAAGGCGTTCGAGTTCAGGGAGTTTAGACAATTCATCTTGGCCTTCGCCACGGTATATGCTTTCAACAATTGGAGATGATTCATTTGACTATTTAAGCTGACGCAAGATCGACAACCTGGACTCTATCCAAAGATGCGCTGCATGAGCACTTCCTTGAAGATGTCATGTCCGGGAGAATCGATCACACGGTTGAGACGGTTACCCTTGAGGACACTCAGCCAACCGTGGTCGTCGCCAGGGACCTCATCGAGAGTCAAGATATGGGGGTCCTCATTGGGGTTTTCTGAGAGGGCGACTGCGGCTTCGGCAGGCTTCTTTCTGAATCTACGATCAACGACATGCATTCCATGTGTCCATTGACCGCTTGTCTCCACACGGATGTCCTCCAGTTTCTCGGGTGTCTTCCACTTAGGATCATCTCGGGTCAGCATATACCATACCGTCAGGGGATCGTGCAACGAAAGCCCGGGCTCGTTTTCATCACCCTCCATATCCTCGATCTTGCTGAAGGATTTAGTGACAAAGTGCGACACCCACCGAGCAAGTGGGCTGCCAGCTTCGACGTGAGCCTGGATGTTCTCCTTGAAGTAGTTCTTGCCAATCAAGTGAGGGGTAGTAATATCGAGGGGGCAAAGTGTGAGCTTAAGCTGGCGGGAAAGTTTGTTTGGGTAGGCTTTCAAAGTTGAAAGCTCCTGGGGAATAGTCGGCATCGTGGAGCTCGGCTTGGGGGAGGTGAGTGCGTAAACCCGAGCAGCAGCAACAGCATCGGCGTAGCAGTTGAATTCAGCCACGGGAGTACAGTTTCCCTCGACATTTACAGCACCGCCCATGACGACAAGCTCCTTCACACGAAGGAAAGTCTCGGGATCTTCTGCGGCTGCTAAGGCAACATTGGTAAGAGGGCCAACTGCAAGGATGGAGACAGTGTCCACGGGGTTCTCTTTGAGGATCCGGAGGATCTCGTGGTGAGAGGGCGCCTTGGATGGCGTGAAGAAAGGAGAATAGTCTCCGGCTTCGTTGGCGCCATCACTGAAGATGCCTTTCCAGGTTTCGGCTGGAGACAAATCAGGATGAGCCTCATGGACATTATGCAAGCCATCGATGCCGTCTACGGAAGCTCACATATTAGTAAAGGAAACCGAACGGATTACCTGGGCAGCTACTGTACTTACGGAAGTAATCCGCCATCAGCTCCTCGTCGCAAAGGGGGTGGTCAGGGCCAACAGCCACGATGGGCTTGTTTGCCTTCATGGCTCCGAAGCCTTCGGGTTTGCCAGTGGACTTCCTCCATTCAAGTTCTTTCCCAAGCACGTGGAAGAGAGAAACAACGTTTCGGAGACAGCTGAGATAGTCTTTAGTGTTGATTCATGATAGTGAACAGAATTCAAAGGTGTATTTACCTTTGGAGGGGGACATTGCCGTATGTGACGGACACCATCAGAACCTCAAGCTCCTCCGGTCTGGCACTGAGTGCAAGAAGCAGGGCCAGGATATCATCGACGCCTTGAAGTATTAGTATTTAGGTGCTCCAGCCTCAAAGCACATGACAGTTACCTGGGTCGGTATCGATAATGATCTTCTGCTTGGGAGCCATTCTCGAATTTGGAGATTATGTTCAGAGAAACCAGTGGCGACTTAGATGAGGAGCTCAAGCTTGTTCAACAAGTTTGAGAAAGTATGAATGCAGAGGAATCTAATCAACCTTGGATTTATTCTCACAGCCCCGTGGCCCAGGAATCAAATTCTTCGGGTACTTGCAGCTTAAAATTGAAACCTTGCAGGTTGAAAACAGGAGGATCAAAGTAAGAATCTTGTTCACACATGTTATGCCGATGAGCGTTTCCCCTCCTTCGGTTTTGGGCAGGTGGGCAAGTGGGGTGTGGTGTTAGTTGCTGAGATAAGCTTTTCGCAAGAGCTATTGGTTGTTCAATTGAGCGAGATATGAATGGGCATTACTTCTATTGGGTTCCTGTGGCACTTGCACGATAGTATGCGAAATCGCTGTTCTTACACGGATGTCAGAGTTGGAATACTTGCGAGATCCGAGCCTGACGCAGGGTAGTGCAGTTTGAGTTGCAGATGGCATGAAGTATGTGCAACCTAAAAAATCACTTCGACAGCCAATCAAATGAGTCCAAAGCAAGAGGTTAAAGGCTTCAGGGATAACATAGGTAAAGAAATAGCAATGTACCTACTTCGGAGCAATTATCAGTGACTCACGATTAACTTGTCCTCCCAGCCACGTACGTCTGACCAACGAAAACAATCCGCTTTCCTCAATGAATTGTATGCTTCCCTTGATATTTGGAGAGCATTCTCCCAGAGAATACGATACACACGTGACCAACAATGTGTTAGGTATATTCGAAGCTGGTACAGCCACTTCAACAAGGACCT